TCCCAATATTCTTCCTTTCAATCATAAGGAAAGAAGTCCTCTTTCTTTCTAAAGCTAATCTGCGTGCCAATATTCTGGATCTCCAAATCCCTTCGCATCTCCCTTGGATACCATCCCCCATGTTTATTTCAACCCTCTATCATCTCTAATCTCTACTCCACAGGATCCTGTTCTTCCACTGCCAAGCATATTATAATATTCCTAACACTAAAATTTTTTTGTATAAATTCAATTTATCTCATTCATTTTGAGACCAATCTCCTAGAAATGTGGTCTACACCTATTGCCTCCACTTACTAATAAATATTTTATTAGAAATCTTCAGCAATCTCTCTTCTGCATCTATCACTATAAAGAAACTGTACTTTTGAAGATCACCAATGTTTTTGCCAAAACTATAGCCAAATATTTTGTTCATCAAGTTTGTTCATCCTTATTCCTCCAAACTTTCTGCTACATTGTTTCTTTGTTTCTTTTGACAGTTTTGTTTTGGTTTTCTGCCTGTGTCTTTTTTTTTTTTTTTTGAGACAGGGTTGTGCTCTGTCACCCAGGCTACAGTGCAGTGGTGCAATCATACCTCAGTGCAGCCTTGAACTCCTGGCTCAAGTGATCCTCCTGCCTCAGCCTCCTGAATAGCTGGTACTACAGGTGTGGGCCACTGCACCCAGCTAATTTTTTTTTTTAATTTGTTGTAGAGATGGGGTCTCAGTATGTTGCCCAGGCTAGTCCCAAACTCCTGGCCTCAACGATCCTCCAGCCTTGGCCTCCTAAAGTGCTGGGATTACAAGCATGAGCCACTGCGGGGGCCAACACTCAGTTTTTAGGGAGTTCTTCTCCCCCTTAATTTGGATGAATTTGCTGCTTTTTTCCCCTTATGTCCCAGCAGTGGGTGTTCCCCCAGATTCTGAAATTATTTGTTCTACATATGAAAACATTCATTCTACATAACTCCTAAATCTCTATCTTCAGACTGTTACACCTGCATCCCAGTCCTGCATTTCCATTTCCAGTTTCCTCTGAGACATTAAGCTTTCATGTCCTCAAACTCGTTTAAGTGCAAAACTAATCATTATTTCACATGCCATGGAACCGATCTTTCTTTTCTAACTACTATACCCCTCTGCACCGTTTCACTCAGTAATAATTCCATTCCTCGTCCACTAAAAAATACCTTAGTCATCTTTTACTCTTCCTTCAACTTCATCTTTACATCTAAAAAGTTACCTTATTATCAAATTCTGACATACTTCTGAAAAAGATATATATTAGCCCTCTTAGATTGGGCCTTCACTTTCATTGTCAATTATAGCCACTTATCTTGTTCCCAATCTTAGCTCCTTTCCTCAATCCAGGATTAGTCTTTCCATAGACACCACTTCTATCTTGTAATTACCTTGCTTGAGATCCCATAAGAATTTCCACACATCTTCTAAATGAAGTCAAGTCAGAATTCTTCCATTTGGCTTTCAAGACACTACCTCATCTGATCTTTTATCTAATCCTACCCAGTTCATTTTCTACAACTGCAGGAGTTCTTACCCCACGATCCATGGACAAATGGCCTTTCCAAAATCCAACATTTTTCATACAATCCAAAACGTTGCATACAATGCAAAACGTTGTATACGTGTGTATTTGGGAGGGAGGAGTGAAGAAAGGTCCCGTGGACAACGCTTTGAAAGGTTAAGAAGCACTGCTCTATACCCAAACATGCAACCCCTACTCTAGACTGATCATCACCTGCTGCTCTTCCTGCCTGTCATGTTTGCTAGTGCAAACACGACTTTTTATTCACCTTATTGCCAGTTAATACTTCTCTACTCCCATTCGTCTGAGCAAATCTTATCCATTTTGCAGGTTTCATCTCCTCAGGTGAAGCATAGAGCTAGCTCTCTCGCCCGACTCTTCTTGCACTTGTAGTTCATACCACACAAATAAAACTTAGCTTTTTCTCTTGTGATTAGTCTATTAATCACTTTTCTATATTGCCATCAATCCCTAAATCCAACCGTCCCAATGTCAACGCTTAGCTCAGTGCTAAGCACGTAGCGTAAGTATTGAAAAGAGCAAAATGCAAAGTTTACAGCCAGTCCGGGACCAATACAAAGCATCTCACCTAATAAAATGCCGTGACGACGCTGTCACCCATTCCGGATTCACTAACCATTCTCCAAGTCCGGCTCCAATACTGTGTCGAGACTGAAGTCCCCTCAAAGTCGGGGCGGGGGGTGGGGCGGAGAAAAAGCCGCCAAAATGACAGCTAAGAGAGCGGCCGGAGGAACCCGTGGCCCTCCCAAATTCCCTCTCGTTCCACGAGTGGGTTCAACGGGACACAAAGGCGCCCAGTAAGAAGACCTCGGCTCCTCCGGACGCAGGGCTGGCCCTGCGACTTTACTCCGGAACGGACATTTCCGCTCACCCAGCCATTCGGCTCTGCGAACCCCGCTCTTGCGGAGCTGGCTTATGCCCGCAGAAGGGGAAGGGCAAAAGAACAGTGCGTCCCAACTCGTCCTTCTTCAGCCGAGCCCTTCAGGGATCAAGGCCGGTCCGAAATCACGCCGTTGAGAAACCGTAATTCGGCCCTCAGCCGCCTCTTCAGTTTAAAAATCGTTTCCCGACTCGCTCTGCGGCCCAACGCGGCAAAGGAAGCCTCCCAGGCGCCCCGCCGATTCCGCGTCCGTGGAGCAACTGAAATCGCCATTTTAACTGAGGGCAAGGCCGAACGACTTAACCATTACGGTCAACATTCCTAATCCAGTGGCGTTGCTCCTCTGGTTTTCAACCGGCGCGCAGCGTTCCCTCAAAGTTCCGCCCGTAGTAAGCATGGCGGCGGTGCTTCTGCTCTGATTCGTCGAGCGACTTCTCCGTAATCTCGGGCGCTAACAGGGCGGCTTGAGGGAAGCCTGGCTTCCAGCGTGGATTTGTTTGTGGCTTCTAGTCCTAGAAGCATTTTGGATTTCCTCGCCTTTCTTCTTGAGAAGACCCGAGGTCTGCCGCCAATCTGGGAGATTTGCAACTCGAGGCTGTTCGTCCTTGTTTTCCAGTTCTACCCGCGGGAGCCTTCGGGGAAGCGTGGAAAGAAGGGAAGGGTGTACGCCTGGCGACCGGCCCCTCTCCCCCAGCCCCGTCTCTGGAAGTGTCTTGGGCTCCTCGTGCCTGGCGCTGCTCTGTGGAATCGTTCCCTAGCCGTCGTTTCTGGCCGCAGTCCTGTTTAACAGAAGTGAAAACTGATGCATTGAGTGGGGGGAAAGGCCTTTCCCTTATCCATCTCTCCCGGGCCCCAAAGACCTTGCAGATTTGTCTGGTTTCCAGACACGTGTTTTCGAATGTTGTGCGGACGGGAGCTTAAGCATTGAAGAATAGAGTAGGAACTCCTAGAATTTTAAGGGATTTATGAGTATTTCCAAAACTGACTTTTGACTACCGGCCGTGAGGGATTCGTGATTGCCTTTCGCTATCCTGTGGCTCCAACATGTACTTCCCTTCTTGGTTAAGTCAACTGTGCAGGGATTTATACAGACCCCTTGGAAGCACCACTCAGCCGATTTGGGGTTCTCTCTCCAGAAGTCTTGTGCTAAGTTCACAGAGGAGAATTCCAGGTGAAAACAGCAAAGAGCTCTGTCCTCGAAACAGTACTTCTGCCTGTTCTTTAGAACCGGAGAGCTTTCATTCCATTTTCCCCTCCATTCTTAACTGAATAACCTTATGTGTAGAAGCAGATCATTCACTCTCTTCGTTCCTTATAGTGCATTTTTTTCCCTTGAGTTTTTAAAAAGACCACAAAAACGTAACCTAACCACGTAGGATATTCTGTTTTAGTTAATGCTACTAATAGGAAGCCTAAAAAATCGTTTTTCACGCATGTAGCAGTGTTTTCTAGTGTACAAGTGGCAGTTACACACTAGATTCATACTAAAGCTAAGTAATTACTGAACCATCAAACTTCTGTAATTCCTAAAATCATATTTCATTTTGGGAAGAAATGTGCACTATTAAGAATTGGGTTATTAGGATTTTAGGTCAACGCAAATGCCAGATCCAAAAGATTTGCATTCAGATAGTTATTCACTTGGCTTTTGACACATTTGCAGATAAATTTAATAGTGAATTAATTAAATTACATACTCTGACTTACTTTATAAATTTTGCCCGTTGCCCTGAAATACCTGAGATGCTGTAATTTCAGAATCTTTATGATATATTTTTAATCTTGCGTTTTAAACGTTTCTCTTTGCTTTCTTTTTTTTAGAATTCAGTAGCTTTGTTGCCCGGACCAACACATGTGGAGAATTGCGTTCCTCTCACTTAGGCCAAGAAGTCACCTTGTGTGGATGGATTCAGTACCGAAGGTAAATTGAGGTAGATGATCTAAGGATGCATGATGGTTGTTTTCCCAAACCCGTACTAATTTTCAACTGTTGGTAAGAATAAAACACTTTGCAACTGCTGCAGAATTCCTTGGATTTTCTGTTTTGTTTTGAAAGACCCAACTGACTGGGAGTGTCACGCTCAGTAGGTACTAGTAACATCTGTTGAAGGGCATAACAATGAACCTTGATCCACCAATGTACTGAAATGACCCCAGTCTTACTAAAGTTGACGAGTTCCTTATGACCACTAATTGGGAATGGGCCAGCATCCTATAAACCAGCTATTAAGCTCCAATAGCTTGGGAGAAAAAAGCTTGTTTTATTCTAAATTTAGGTAGAGAAAAGGCCTAAAACATGAATAGTAATTCCTTAAGATAACAGCAGATTTTTTTGTTGTTCATCTCTATATTCCAGAACATACCTGAATAGTACATTAATTCACATGAAAGCCATCCAAAATACATAGCTTATGTAACCTTCCTAAAGAATAGGTCCCAGGTAGGTGGATATTTGCCCAATAAATTTGGTGACTTTGTCTCCTGAATCCAAATCTGAAGAGGCTTTCTGTACCTCTTGCTAGTACTAAGAACAGTATGAGAAATGTAGGTTGAGTGTGAAAATGTTGGGATTTCTGGGACCTTTTGATGGTTCATAGAGGCGTTAAATTAGTAGTTAGAACTCCTCCAGAGATTTTTAGATTGTGTCTTTTTTCTTTTTCTTTTTTTTTTTAAGGCCAGTGAAGTGAAGCAGTGGGAGTGGAGAAGGAACAAAATTGTACCTTTTTTTAGAAAGAGAAAAGACCTTATATTGCAATATTTTGAAAATGATCAGATGTTTCTGATATCTTAAAACATTATCTTTGGATTTTACTTTGTGAACAGTTTACAAATTTAATAAAATTTCTTATAAAGACCTAAGCCAGTTGGTCTGAGTGCAGTGGTGTTTACAGCTAATTGATCACAGCCAGTTACAGATTCCTTTGCTCCTTCTCTACCCTCACTGCTTCACTTGACCAGCCTTTAAAGAAAAAAAGAGAAAAAAAAAAAAAGACCTAAGCCAATGGGAGCTGGGCCTGGTGGCCCAAACCTGTAATCCCAGCTACTCAGGAGGCTGAGACAGGAAGGTTGCTTGAGCCCAGGAGTTTGAGACAA